TTCACTTATTTGTTCTTTCACATCTTTATTCTCAATTATCTTCCATCTATAGTAGTTTCACATGACGAACCTTTACTTGCTAACATCCTTAGCATTGTACTTTATTGCCTAAGAATCCTATATCTTACAAGCTTCCTTATAGATGCAATAGACATCGAACAAATCACTAGATAAAGTGTTAATGATAGTATGTTAGCATATCTTGTTTGCATGAGTCCTTACAACTTTATGGGCCTAGTTAGCATTAGTAGCGTGCTCGAGTTGAGCAAGAGCATTAGTTACATCATGCAAATCAAGGATGGTAAATACTCGTTCTTGCCATCAAACACTTTTATCTTTGAAATTTTTGGGAATGGCCTTAGCAGGGGAACAACAATAGCTGTAAGGATAAATTGATCTCCACCAGAACCATTAAGAATATTCTTAAGGGCCACATTGTCAGCATTGGATGCCATTAGTTCTTAAGATTGTTGGCGATAGGTAGGAAACAATAGCTTGAGTTGGGCTAAAAGACACTGTCTTTAAGAACTATATTGGCACACTAGTATGGCAAACTGGTGACTCTCTAGGATTAAACAAGCTTGTTTTGCAAGCAAGCAAGGCAACAAAATAGAAGAGACTGATAAGAAAACTACTCAAACAACATAGCATGCACAAAGGAGGAAAGAAAGGCTTGAAAGCTCAAGATCTAGGAACCTGTTCTGTCTTCAAGTAAGCCTATATATAAGTCACGACATGAATGTTGGGACTAAATGTTAGGTTAAGTCTCCATTAAGCACTGGTTATACACACATAAAACATTATGAAGCATTTGTTTGGAACCGTTGGAAGACAACCACATTAATGTAATAAAATTTGTTTAAGAAATCCGTTTAAGTCCTAGAAAACAAAAAAGCTCAAATTCAAATTTTAAACAGCCAAAATTATAGGTTTTCTAGAAGCATTTTCTTAAATAAATTATTTAATTATTTTCCACAAGAATAATCTTATAAAAGAAACCCAATTCCCTTTTAACTCGCTCATAGGGAGGCAAATTAGTTGTTTTTAACTGTGATTGTCTTGAGTGGGTTTGTTTCATGTGTATGAACCCACTTTTCTTTCAAACCTATTTTACTAGCCCATTTCATTCCTTAATATATATACATTAGGAGTTCTCTTCATGTAGGCAATGTGAGACTTCTTCTTTTGACACACACAATGACTACAACACATCCTTCCAAGTAATAGAAAAGTTAACCATTTTGTTAGGGTAAATATGATTCAAATGAAAACCTTACTAAAATAGAACGACAGTTAAACAAAAATTAATTAAAGAGGGGTAAAGAGGATAAAAAAAGTTCAAATCTAGGTAAAGATTTTCTTGTTAAATATTACTTGTTATCTTTAGGAAATATGCTTTGTCCTCGCAAAAGAAATTATTACTAACAATTGCTCAGATTTAATTTCCATAAATTTAGATGATATATCCCATTATGCATTATTGCTTAGTTTGGTACGAGGGAATGGGCAATAATGGAGAGTGGAAACCAGTGAAGGAATGATCATTTTAATTGTTTAGTGCACAGGAGAATTCATCCAATGGAATGACCCATTGTCACATTTGAAGTAATCCCCATTCTATCAATGGATTATGTAAATAAGATCTATCCATCAGAATGACCTTTTGGACGACCAAATTATCCTTGGTTGTGAATTTTTTGTACAATATTATCCTTCCATTTTTTACTTTTACCTTGTCTCTCGACTTCTTCGTCTCTCTACTTGTCGCTCATCTCGGTCGCAGATCTTGTCTTTAGTTGCTCATATCGGTCGCTCACCTCTAATCTCCACCACAAATCTTCACTTACCTCCCCATTGTCGGTCGTTGGCGATTTCTGCAACCCTTGCTTCATCATAACGAGGCTGACAGATGGGTTTAAAATTGTGATCTCCCTCCCTGGGGAGGGGCTTCAAGCTGACAAATTCTCGTTACTATCATTATTAACTTTGATTTTCTTGCTTGATATTGAAATTTGGTCACCCATCTTCATCTCGCTTGGAGCTTTGATCACTCAAGTAGGACGGGCTATCTCATAGATCTAGTCACCCTTCTCTGATCTCGGAATTTTTGGCTTCACTACGTTTGTCTTGTTGGTTAAAAAAAAATTGCACCTTAAAAATTCCAATCTTGTGATGGCAAAGTTATGGCAGTTTTGTTGTTTATATATTTTTAGATTTGTTAGCTTGCGAATTGTTTCAAAAAATAAAAATCTTGCTTTGATTGCTGTGTTGAGTCATGGAACAAATTGATTTTGACGGTTTCTGGATAAATAATATGTAATTTTTGCTTAAAATTTCAAGAAGTGGCGGGAGAGTTAGAGGAGGCACAGGGACAAGAAGAAATTGGAGCCGGGAAGCGTGAAGGGCGACGATCCAGTGATGGGATGGCAAGTGAGAAGGAGAAGTTGGGGCTGTTTCGTGCCATCAGATTTTTTTTTTTTTAAAGAGTAAGGGTAAAACGGTATTTTGCTATTATAATTGCAAAAATTAAATAAAAATTATTCAATCATCCCTTAACATACCAAACATACTTCTTACCCTCATCCCTAATCCTATTTCTATTTCTATTCCTAATCTCATAGTTTTTTGATGAATGAGTTTTTCAAGCTTAATCTAAGTTGGTGATGGTCCATCATAAGCAAAAAGCAAAACAGGCGCGCGCGGGGGCAAAAGCTAGTTGAGATTCATAATGCAAACACACCTAAGAGCAAAGCTTAATCTAAATTGTTCATGTCATTTTTTTTATTTTTTTAGTACAGTCCTAAGCTATGCAGGTCAAAAACTATTCAAGTCAAAATTCAACAGGTTAAATTTATTTATTAAATACTAAAATAATAATTTTATAATATTTATTTTTATTATTATAATAATAACTTTGTAGTTTAAAAAAAGAAAAAAAAATTAATACTGAAATGGTGTCCAAAAAAAAGTCACATAGAGAACACCAGTGATTCCAATTACATGCACAAGCAATATTGGTGGCAGCTGGAAGGTGGGCGTGTAGATTCAAGCCTCCCATGCTATCATTAAGAAGTTGATTCATATCGCTTCATTTCTGGAAGTTCTTCCATCTCATCCAAAGTGATGAATTATTATTAAATTACATATACCACACACAGCTTTCATTCCTCTCCAATATGATCACGCCTTGAAATGGAAGGCCCTATTTTGTGAGGAGCGCGATGTCACGGATGATATTTCCGTGACCGTGTAAAGACCAAGATAATGAACGGTCCGCTGGTTAGCCTCGCACAATATGGGTAAAGGGGGCGACATTAGCATTGGGGGTGTTCTGCCTCAGTCTTCGGACTGTGTGCACAACTGGTCCCTGATGAGCCCATGGCAGGGCGAAACCAGTGTGATCCGTACGTGGTAAGGCTTGTCCTGAGGATTATGGGGTCCTCCAGGACGCCGCACGGGCGCCGTGTGCTGCGCCAGACTCTCAGCCCGTGACAGAGTGGTATCAGAGCAGGACGTACTTTACTGCCGTGTGCGCGTCGGGTCCCACGTTGGGACTGGTCGGCCTCGGCACCGCTCCAGAAAGGCCTCCGAGCAGGTGGGTCCAAAAGTGGGGACTCGGGCGGGAAGGTTGGCCGTTGTCGACTCCACTCCTGTTGGCTCGCGGGTGCGAGTGGGTCCGAAGAGTGCAGGACTCGGGTGGCCACTCAGCAAGTAAGCTGATGTGTTTGTGGCGGTACTGTATGTACGATCCTTGGGCGGAGTCGTTCTCCCCCTAGCACGAGGGCGTGCTAGATTGGGTGTGGGAGAATGTCACGGATGATATTTCCGTGACCGTGTAAAGACCAAGATAATGAACGGTCCGCTGGTTAGCCTCGCACAATATGGGTAAAGGGGGCGACATTAGCATTGGGGGTGTTCTGCCTCAGTTTTCGGACTGTGTGCACAACTGGTCCCTGATGAGCCCATGGCAGGGTGAAACTAGTGTGATCCGTACGTGGTAAGGCTTGTCCTGAGGATTATGGGGTCCTCCAGGACGCCGCACGGGCGCCGTGTGCTGCGCCAGACTCTCAGCCCGTGACAGCGAGGAGGAAATGTTGGAGGAAGGGGTTGCCTTGGTCACAAGCTACTTCTGCTTCTTTTTGTCTCCTTCCACTTTCCACATCCCATCCAATCCCTTCATTCCAGTTATCCTCATTCAATGTATAGAGGAGGCATCAATAATAATCTCTCCATCTAATCTCATGCCTGCTTATCCTAAACACCTACAATGTCTGTTTTGAAAAGTCTCCATCGCGTAACGCCTTTCCAAGTCATGTTCATGGATACTGAGTACATTCACGTCCCCACATTCATTTTGTTTTTAACAAGCTTATCAACATGTATATGCGACGCCGATACAGAAGCTTTACCATAATTCCTAATTTGTTCTACTCACCTTTCGCTGGGGACAATTTAACCATGACTGGTGTAATTGCACTGGAACTGAACAATAAAGTCATATTAATAATTAATAAATTATTATAAATATAAATATACAAATTACGATGTAATCTACTCTCTCTATTTTAAATTATAAGATGCTTTTAAATAAAATTTTATATACCAATAAATCTTATTAAATACACTTAATAACTTTATTTTTTTAAAATAAAAATATAAACTTTCAAAAACACTTATCATTTAATATATTAAAAAGAAAAAGGATATAAATTAATTATAGAGAAAAAAATAATATTAAAATTAATATATTTAATAAAATTGTAATTCACTCAAAGTATTTTATGTTTTGAAATAAATTTTTTTTAAAAAAATACTTTATAATTTAAGACATTGGGAGTATACTCTATAAATTTATAACGATACACAGGCATAGCATAGATAGTTTAACGAATCCAACTATTTATGATTATGGTCATAAATAGTGCAGCGATCACTTTCGGAAACTAAATTAGTGCAAAACAACGACCCCCGCTGCGCTATTAAATGAAAAATAAGATGATAATCCGAAATGAAAGCAAGGCAAGGAATTAGGAAATAGGATCATCCGTATTCATAAGTCGAGAATACAAGAGAAACTCGGGAACCATGCCGCGCTCAACAACTATGACTAGAAAAACTGATCGTGGCACGACACTGAGAAAAGCCAAAACTGAAGAGCCGACCGCTTCTTTTTCTGGTCTTTCACTGCAAGACGCGCACACCCTCTGAGACACACAGATACGCTCATACTGACTGCGAGCACAGTGGTTTTCCTCGATCCACAGACATTAAAAGTGATTTCTTCGTTATCATCACAGTTCTGTCTTCCTCGTCGAGGGGAAGAAAAAAGGCTCCAACTTTTCCAGAGAGACGAGCTGCGAGGGGAATGCAGAGGCGCAGGTGGATTCCGTTGGTTCTCTTACGGAAGTTGCTTACTGCAGCTATTTGCTCGATTGCGCTTGTGGCGCTCTTCTCTGTCCATTTTCGCGTTGTCCCCTCTTCGAAAGATCAAAAGTTCAATGACAAGATTTCCACGGTTTGTTCGGCTTCTCTTTCTCTGCCTTTTGGTTTGGTAAGAATTTAGGGTTCACCTTTTTAATTTGGGGCTCTCCGGGTTCCCACAAAGTTTTCCGATGTTCCAGAACAATTCACCCCTTGCTGTACAAATGAATATTTTGGTGTATTAGTTTGTTGTTTTAATTTATGCATTTACAATGAGCGCATTTTGGTTTCTGAAAACTGAAAAGCGTCAGTGTTACATGTCATTTTCTGTATTTTGTTGAGCAGAAGAAAGTTGATATCAACGGCCATAAATATAGATAATGAAGATTTTATCCACATTCTTTTATATACAGTCTATAGGAAGTTTAGCTTAATCCAGATTCATTAAGAGAAAATGGGATATGCTTCTCGATAAATTGGTGACTAAATGATCCTTTTTTCCTTTTCAAATTTTGACAGCCTCGTGATTGGCAAAGCTGGACGAGAGAGCTCGCTCCGCCCCATTTATCCAAATCCAAGGCTCCACTCCCTACTCCCAAGGTTCTGCGCTTCCTATAAATCTTCTGATTTGTTGATTTGATCTGTCTGTATTCTCTGAAATGTGAATGCGAGACATATTTCGATACATGTAAAATAGTTGATCTATGCGAAAAAAAAATTTATTTAGGAAAAAAGGAGAATAAGAAAGATATCTCATGCTATAGGCTTATTCGTTGCACTCGGCGTATTTGGGGTAGTTGCTTATTCTTAGAAAATCAGCCTAAAACCTTTACTTATTAATTTCTTCAATCTCCTTTTACTCTCGTCAACCGAGTGGGGAATTCCATTAGCACTAAAAAAAAAAAAATTCGAAGCGGGAAGTTCTGTCTCCTGATAAAACTTCTATTGGTTGTGCCCTTTGTTTTCCTTTTTTCCCTCCCCGAAATTCATTTAGATGCATAATCGTTTGACTTCAATTTCTTGATTTATTTTAATGGCTGTTCCTGTCAAGATATGTTGGGGTGGCTTGTATGTCGGCATCTGTTTATGTGAATTGTGTTAAGCAGTTATGCATCTTTCATGTTTTTACTCGTTTAGATTTGACAGTTAAATCATCTGGGAGGGGATTCAAACTATGACAAACTGTGGAAGCCTCCTTCAAATCGTGGGTTTCTTCCCTGCATAAGTCCTACGGCTAATTACACAAGTAAGGAGCTTAACATAATCATATTTTGTGAGTTACAAGTATGAACTTCACCATTACTCATTTCATCTTTTAAATATTTATCCAGCTCCAGCCAAGTCGCGAGGTTACCTACTTGTTCACACAAATGGTGGACTCAACCAAATGCGTGCTGGGGTCTGATCTCTTTCCTTAAATTGCTTTCATATGCTCTATCGGGAAAAAATGCTTTCGTACGTAAATCTTTGGTATTGGTGCCCATTATTCTATTGTTTGTCCTGCTTAATCTTTTTGAAGTCAAGAAAGTTCTCTGTGCTGGGGAAGAGTGCCAAAGCCCCATGATATGTCAAAACACGATGGTTGTCTTAAAAACTAATTGTCAATAGAATCTAGAATTTAGAGAAATTCATGGGATGTTCTTTTAGATATCATTTTTATTTGCACGTCAGAAGCTGAAAGTTAACTCCCTTTCCTACAGATATGTGATATGGTAGCTGTAGCTCGTATCATAAATGCGACTCTTGTAATTCCAGAACTTGATAAGAAGTCATTTTGGCATGACAGTAGGTAATTTTTAATTATATTTTTTAGTATTATATTTTGTTGTTTGCATTTTAGGTGATCTGATTCTATAGATTAATTTGTTAATTTGATTCACAGCAATTTCTCAGATATTTTTGATGAAGAGCATTTTATAAAGTCTCTAGCTAATGATGTAGAGATCATTAAGAAGCTTCCAAAAGAACTGGTTAATGTTACCAGAATAGTCAAGCATTTCAGAAGTTGGTCTGGCATGGATTACTATGAGAATGAGATTGCCAGCTTGTGGGAAGAATATCAAGTATGTCTGACGGATGTCTGTTGGTATATACAGTTCTATGTAACTGTTCGCTTAACTTACCCTATACTGCAACATATTGTGTTCCTATCTAATTACTGATACCCTTTAAGGTTATTCGAGCTGCCAAGTCTGATTCCCGGTTGGCAAACAACCGTTTACCTCCAGATATTCAGAAGCTTCGTTGCCGTGCTTGTTATGGAGCTCTTCGTTTTTCTCCGCTTATTGAACAAATGGGAAAAGTATGCGAGATGTTAATGCTTATTGGCTTCTTTGTTACCTATCTATTGATTGGTGCAAGACTGAAGGGGTGGTTGTTTTATTTCCATTTTTTATTTATTTTTATTGGTTCCTTGTAGTTATTGGTGGGGAGGATGAGGTCATTTGGTCCCTACATAGCATTGCATTTAAGATATGAGAAGGATATGCTGGCATTTAGTGGGTGCACACATAATTTATCTCCAGCTGAGGCTGATGAGCTACGAATGATCAGGTATGAGTGTTTTGAAATGATTGAATCCCATGTCCTTGCTTGATGCTTGGAAATCTTATTTGGCTTGAAATTTTCAGAGAGAACACTTCCCATTGGAAGATAAAGGATATTGATCCCAGAGAACAGAGGTCCAAAGGGTTTTGCCCATTGACTCCAAAGGAAGTTGGAATATTTCTTACTGCTCTTGGATACCCATCAAAGACTCCAATATATATTGCTGCTGGGGAGATATATGGGGGTGAATCCCGCATGGCAGAATTGCATTCCCGCTATCCATTGTTAATGAGCAAGGTAACAAATCAAATTAATGTGTTTGCTATATTTTTGTGCTTGATATTCATTTCATGAAGTTCGATAAACCCTTGGTACTTTGAATTTCCTGTGAAGATTGACTTTAAATTTTGCCGTGTGTAAATTGATGGTATGAAGTTGAAATGTTTAATTTTGGAGTTGAGTTGTAATGTCACGTGCATTTGCAATATCATTCTACTCCCTGCTCTTTTAAGTAAATAGGAAACATTGCCAAATGGATAAGATGTCTGGAGAGTGACAACCTATCTTATAGAATAATAGAAATGAATACAAGGTTCTCATCTCTCCCATTTTCCAAGTGCATGGGGAGCTTCTCATCATAAACCAGGTGTTTTTATACAAGATTTAACTAATTATGGAGTTTTCTATTTACAATTTGTTTGATTCAGCCCTTGTTTCAGTAAATTCATATAGATGCAGCCATAATTTCTATGAATGATAGGTGCTACCTATTCTGAGATTAAGGCAAGAAGTCTAGTCTAGATTGTTGGGTGTTTCTTGCATAGAATTCCTAAAGAAAACTACAGCCCGGAATGTAATGTTAAAGAGCACTAAGGTTGAGCTGGATTCTTTGGTTAAATCAGTATAGCTTCTCTGCTTTTGAAAAAAATTACTGAAAAATGGAACCATCATTATTAAGAACTGAAACACATCAGGTCACAGGCACCTGTACTGTAGTTTTGATTTATTTAGCTAATTTTCTCCCATTGGTGTTAAACTCTCTTTCATTGCATCCTAGATCCCTGTATTATTAAGGACTCTATTGCATCACCTGCTTTGTCCCTGAACTGAATTGTTATTTCTTTAGTTCTTATTTATTATTGAACTCTCTCACATGCACAAATTAATAGTTAAGATGAAAACAGTTGGTGGAAAATTAAGAAAGATTTATTTGATGTGGTACTAATTTAATTTTATGACTTTATTTTCTTTCCTATTAAGCATTCTGTGGTTGTTACCTATTTTATAATTTCTTTTACTTGGATTTAAGCTAGATTTTCTTTTATTTTTAGCTTACGTTTGGGTTTATTCATTTTAGGTTGAAGTTTTAATCATTTGAATAATTTTATTTAGCGCCCTATAAATAGCCTTGAATTCTTTTAGCCCCATTTGGTATAAGGGAAAAGTTTTTTATGGATGCGAAAGTGGAAATGAAAATGAAAGTGAGGTAAAAATTTTATAGGTTAAAAGGAAAAAATGCTTTGGAACTTTTTCACAAGGGGTGCTTGGTATTATAAACTTTTCATAACTTTTAAAAAGGGTGCAATGTTGCCCTGCTATTAATGTTGACTGTTAAATGTTTGCTTGACTAACAGATACTGATGTGGCAAGCTTTATGCGCTTAGTAGAATTACCTTTGACTGGGTAAAACATGATTTCCAAATCACGAACTCTTCCAGATTTTCTTCATCTTCTTGGCTCTGGTGCCAATCGAGAGGGATTTTATTGATCTGTCCAGTGAGTTTGACTCCAGTAAGCATGATATACAGTGTTAGGCAGGTCGAACAGACCTTGGTCCAAGCTTCCCTGCCAATCCAGCGACCCAAAACCTCCATTCTAGTTTTTGCTCTGCAACGTTGACAGATCAACTGGAACTGTTGGATTGAGCGGCCGCTACAGCAACTTCATGAGAACAGAGGGCACTAACATGGGTGGAGAGTGTGTGGAAAGATTGAAAACAGATTCACTAGCATGTCTCGCATTAGCAATTTGAAACAGCAAAAAAGCTATTTTCTGATAGCTATTCAAACCCTCCATGTTCTCCGGCTTTCATTCTAACAAGCAAAACAACAAAACCAAGAGACCTAATAGAGTTATGCTTTAGTCTGTGATCTCCAGGACATGTTTCATTCTGTTTGTATGAATTAGAAGCTAAATAAATCTTGATTTGATTATTGACAGTTGGAAATTTGTTTATAAGATTCTGTTTCTGGGTGAGACTGAAGGAAGACAACAGAAAAAAATGCCAATCATGGAAGGGAAAACTTCGCCACCGAAGAGCATGAGGAAGATGATGGGACGCTGAGAATTGGAGAAAGCCTCCATTTCTACAAAGGTCACACTCTTTGTGAGTGAGAGGGGCAGGAGAGGGGAAGAAGAGGGTGAGAGAAGTCCAGTTAGCATATGCCACATCAAGCTTTTTTCTGTTCAAAGTCACATTTAACAGTCAACGTTAGTATGGGTTAGCGGCGGGGTAAAATTGCATCGTTTTTAAAAGTTTTTGAGCGACATTGCTCTAGCAAAAAGTTCAAGATACGAGGCGGCTTTTCAGAGCATTTTTTGCCTTTTGACCCAAATTTTATTTAAGTGAGAAGGCTGGAATTGAGTTCTCATGGGAGCATGATAGAAAGTGAGTTTCATGGTTTTTTTTTTTGGTGGAATTGGGTTCCTTGGAGAAATTGATTCCAGCCCACCAAACAAGAAAATTTCAGAATTTCACTTCCACTTTCACTTCCATTTTTCCAATCCCAATTTTAACATACAAAATGGGGCATTTAGTTGTTATACCTTTTGATAAATTATTGTTGAGGTTATTTTCTGTCAGCTCTCTTTGCCATCTCTCTTCCTGTCCGTCCTCCTTCCTTTCCCCCCTTCTTTCTCCCTATTCTCTCTCCTCCCCCTTTCCCTTGTCATGCATGAACGATGTTATTATTTAAATACCCTCTTCTTGTTCCGGTTGAGGAGTAATGGTGGCTGAGACTGAATTTACATATGTTAATTTTTTATTTGTGATCAATTTCAGGAAAAATTGGCATCCACTGAGGAGCTTGAACCTTTTTTAAGACACGGTTCTCAGATGGCTGCTCTTGACTATATAGTATCTATTGAAAGTGATGTATTTATACCCTCTTACTCTGGAAATATGGCAAGGGCTGTTGAAGGTCATCGCCGTTTTCTAGGACGTGGCAGAACAATATCTCCAGATAGGTAAGGCTCTTTTTTCTAGAACAGAGCAAGTTCGATCTTTTGCCTCCCTTGTATTCACTTGCCTTCCCAAGCCCTTTCACTACTAAAGTGTTCTGATTATTTTATTTCCTATAAATCAGGAAAGCACTTGTTCGTCTGTTTGATAAACTGGATCTGGGAATGATAACTGAGGGGAACACTCTATCCAAAAAGGTTATTGATCTCCACAGGAGACGGTATGTCACTGGAAAAGTATTGCGTCCTAAGTCATTTATGGATGCACCATATCTAGGTGGAATGATTCTATTTGCAAGATAGTTTGAGGACTCTTGCTTGCTTTTTGTTTTTGATATGGGAGTATCATTTTTTTCCCCCTATTTATCCTGCTGACGAATCCGATTTCTTTATCAAGCTTTAAAATATGCTTGCGGCAGGGCAGCACTAAACTCCTTTTAACTGGTTTTTGCTGCTTGTTTGTTTTGCGTGTGGTGCAGACTTGGGTCACCCAGAAAGAGAAAAGGGCCAATTTCTGGGACGAAGGGTATGGATAGATTTCGATCAGAAGAAGCTTTTTATGCTAATCCTTTACCAGATTGTTTATGTCAGACAGAGTTACCAGTTATAAACTCCTCCCACCTAGATTCTTAGGGGAAAGGTAGTGTGTGTGTGTGTACGGATAGCTTGTTTAGCTATACCACTTTTCTTTTTGAAAGAATATCATTAAGTAGAAAAAAGAGGGATATACGGTTTGATGTAAAATTTAGAGAGTGGGGATCGCAAGTTGGGTAGTTCTGAAGAGGGCTTTGGAGAATGCAGTGCTCGTTCATTCAATCAAGAGGGGCCTAATTTTTGGAGGCGGTTGAGGGACTCGTTGACACGTAATGTAATTTAACAACTTTGAAATATCTAATGATAATGCCACATTTCCTTCTTGTAAACGTGCCTTGCATTGCATGTTACATTGCTCCTACATATTTGGCTTTTGGAGGTGGTTCTTAGTAGGCTGATAACCTCGACGTGGTCGTTGGTTTCTAACTTCTGCATTCTTGTCATGATTGTTTGTCACTTCATAACATCATAGTGTCATGGTGGTATTGAATTGACGAGTTTTTGATAGTCCTGGTGTCAAAAAACTTTTGGAGACTATCTGCCAGAAAAACTCCAAGCGCACTACAATATTGTGACCTTTCATTTTTCCAGACCGGAAAACTAGCGTGACCATAGGCTAGAGGATAGATTTTTTACCATCCGTTTTGTTGTCGGGGGAAAAAAGTTTGCTACCCGCTTCTAATGGTTTTAACTTTTAAATGTTTATGTCGTATGGAGGCTTGAGTACTTGAGGCATTCAACTGCTTAACATTTTTAACACAGTTATTTGATTAATAAAGTGAATTAAAAAATTATTTAATTAAAAATATTGGTATTTTTCCGTTGTCCAAAAAACTACGAATTTGACTAATTAGAATAATGTCGCGTCAGATAGATCAAATGAATCAGAATTCAGAATATAAAAAATACTTGAACATGTCTGAACAAAATAAATTTGAGAAAGGGGTGGGGCTGAGGTAGGGTCAAAATGAGCCAATGTAGGAGCAAAATGAAATCTCAGGGTACCGCTGCAGTATCGTAGAACTGGATAGGATAATGCATATCATCAACCCTTGCGTTCATACACTCTCCAACACATAATCTTCCATTCTACGTGTCGGGATATTTTTCCGTCATAGACACGCAGCTATAGAAACGGAATAGTGATTGCAATGGTGGGTGTATCCTTCCTTTCGACTTTCCCTTCTCTGCTCCCACTTGCTTGTGACTCGTCTCCCACCATCACCAGATACTCCTCTCGTGCTGTAAGTATGCTATTCAGTCACTATATCTGCGTACCAGTTTTTGTATCGTAAATGTAGTTGAAATTCTTGCTTCGTGTTGTTTCTCGAGTTCGCTAATGTTCATGACAACATGGGTTTCAATTATGACCCAATGACCTCCATCAGTTGCTTGTGGCTGATAATCTTTGTTCTGTATTTTATTAGGTACCTATTACTTGTAATAAAATCGAAATTGATGTTAGTGGTGAAGATAGGTTCCATCGAAGAGACGTTCTTAAATGCTTCGGGGCTACCATCGGCCTGGTAAGAGCCATCTGTTGATTCTAGTTCTACGAAAATTTCCGCGATTTATTGCTTTCAATGGCCACCAAACTAACATTGCCCGACGCAAGCCGGCAATTGAACTTCATATCATACATGAACTGTCTTCTCTTCGCAATTCAAATATGCGTGTTTGTCGTTGTAGGCTTGTCGATGCTTATATACCTTTAGTATATAGAATTAATGGATGCGAATGATGTGATGATGAGTTTCCGCCAGTTGTATCTCTATGTAGGGACTGATAGAAAGCTCTCCATCCCTTGTTGGGGTCGCCAATGCTGCTGATTTGATACAACGAAGACAGCGTTCTGAATTTCTATGTAAGTTTGTTTAGATGAACATTTTCATGCGAGTCATGCCAAAGTCAATTGATCTCTATTATCTGCCGAGTTCTAACTTTTTATTATCACAGCTGATATCAAGGGAACACTTTATACGGTTATAAAGGTTTGTAATGCTGACCGGTTTTCCTCACGGTTAAAATGGCTTGTATACAAATTAGAGATCATATATCATAATCCTTATGTTTGTGGTTTTTCCACATGATTGAACTACAAATATATCTGAACTGATTTCAGGGAAATCCTTATATTATTCCATCCTTGCTAACATTGGCTTTGAATGATGCTATGACTTATGATAAGGTGAGAAGCGAGTGTGTGTGTGTGTATAGTCTCATCCATCTTTCAAAGCAAATACTGATTGGAAACTGATTAAGTCTGTAGGCAACAAAAACAGGTGGCCCAAACGGATCAATACGGTTCAGGTATTCCTTTTCCCTTGGGCAGTAACTTCAATGAGTATGGAACTAAAGCATAGGAATTTAAATCTTCGATGGATACAAGACATGAGCACTTCATATACTCTATATATTAATATGGTGGAGTTTAGAATTTTGGTGTATCCTGAAGGTTATTTTGCTGCATCAAAAATTATCAGAATTTTAAAAGTAATTTATGGTTATGAGGATGAGAAAAACAACTTCTAAGTCATGGATGTTATGCTAACTTGTTTTTTTAATCTATCTTGAATTTCATGTTTTATAAGTAAGCTTTTGGTTGCACTGCAAAAGTTCTCCTTTTTCTTCGTGACATTTGGTTTTTACCTTTGCTCAGTGATAACCATACTATTTTTTTCTTTTCTTTTGTTTTTTGTTTTTTTTTTTTTTGCCCTGCCTGAAGCCCGGAAATAAGTAGACCTGAAAATAAAGGACTTTCTGCAGCCTTGAATTTGTTAGAGGAAGCAAAAAAGGAGATAGATTCATATTCCAAGGGTGGACCCATATCCTTTGCAGATCTGATCCAGTATGCAGGTTATATATTTTAATATCGTCAAGCTGAAACTCAAAAGTTATGAACGACACACAGTACACATGACAATGGGGTTTTATCTGTATTTTGACTCGTGATTTTGATTCTGTTGGATAAGGAAGGTTATATATATTGTGTTCGATGGTTAATGTTCTATTCCCTGAAAATATTGACTTAATCTTTTGTAGCGCAAAGTGCTGTCAAGGGTACATTTTTAGCATCTGCCATTCGCAAGTGTGGTGGAAATGAAGAGAAGGGAAACTTGTTGTACAATGCTTATGGATCAAACGGGCAGGTATATATCCTTTTGATCTACTCTGCTTTCAAACTTTTCAAGGTTTAGGGGGTCTTCCTCTTATTTTTTAAGATGGTGTGCAAGAACGCATCTCTTCTGAATTTTGGGGTAAAGATATCTTGGTTTATGACCAGTTTCACAAACTGAAGTTTTGGCAATAGACTACTGAAAGATCTGTTGTCAGAGCATGTGATGCGTGCAATTCTTATTGTTGAGCATGTAATATGTAGTCTCTCCTCAATAATCTTAAAGTTTACAACTCAAGCTTCCATCGAATTGCACATGTAATGCATGCAATTCTTAATGTTGAATCAGTGGGGCTTGTTCGATAAGCAGTTTGGTAGGGCGGATGCTCAAGATCCGGATCCAGAGGGTAGAGTTCCCCTGTGGGAGAAAGCTAGTGTCAAGGAAATGAAAGACAAGTTTTCTGCTGTAGGCTTTGGACCTCGTCAGGTACTTCATTTGACCACTATTTATATCGTGTGCTAACTCCCAAATGGAACATAGGAAGGCATTGACGGTCAACAATGTCATGCATGCCTTGAGAACAATGACTTCCAGGTTTTTTTTTTTGGGCCAATACCTTCACGGTTTTTATCATTATCATGCGAAGTACAGCTTAGCCTGCCATGTGGAATATTTTGTTCTGGCCTTGAAATGAGAGAAGTAAATCCTAACACGTTTTTTTCAAGGAAATTCTTCAATGAGAACCCCCAAGTTTTTTCAACCATAGAGATGCTAGTAAGGGTAAAATGTTACGAGATGAACATACCTTAAAAAGCAATATCATAATAGCCTTAAGTGTTTGAAATCAGTGACGTAAAAGTGAGGAAAAGAGTCCATTGATTTTCATCCTTCACTGGACATGCTAACGTTTACGCACTTAATTCACTACCCTCAGTTGCTTAACACATACAGTTTGCAATAGCCATCTTAATCTTTGGGATGAGGTATATGACAGAGTTTCTCTTTTCCTTTTGGCTGGCTTCTTAGATTGGCTACTTCATAGATCCATCGGCTTTTTTCCTCTCACAGCACCCTTTTATAGAAGTTTTTGACTTGACCAAAAAAAAAAAAGTTTTTGAAATGGCAAAAGTAGAGTCGAGAAAGAAAAGAATGACTATGAAAAACAATGAAAAGGAAGGCTTCATTCATTTATTCAACGCTACATGGACAGTGTATATAGTACTTACTGACTCCTTATTGCTGTGTGTTGACCAGCTTGCTGTTATGTCTGCTTTCTTGGGTCCTGATCAGATGGTAACAGAGACCTTACTGGCCACTGACCCGGATGTTGCTCCATGGGTCCAAAAATATCAACGGAGCCGAGAAACTGTGTCTCAGACAGACTATGAGGTAACTCTCTCTATCTCTCTCTATATATACACATTTTTTTTTAAGGGAAGAAGAGGGGTTTATGGTAAAGAGTTATTATCCCAACCCTCCTATTTGGTTGTCACAATCACTATTGGCACCGTTATTTATGAATGATCACCACTGGACGGCAGGGCAAAAAAAAGTAATTATCTGCGATATATTATGCTTACATGCATTAATGGTACCTATAGAATTCTTTATCGACGTCATTGTTTGGCTTGGGAATCGACTCTTGTTCCTTTCTATTTTTGCTTGTCAGGTTGATCTCATAACTACTCTCACAAAATTGAGCACCTTAGGCCAAAGTATTAATTATGAGGCATATACATATCCCGTCAAGAAGATCGATGTTACCAAACTCAAACTGTAGAAGGTGCGGATAGAAGCTGAAGCAGCAGACGATTGGATCTTTCCTTCCTCCTTTACCCCCTCCCTGCAATTTCAAAGTTTTGAGACTTCTGCTTTTGGTCAAGTGACAGTTTCAGAATGTAATTGCTTGTCCAGATGTATCAAAGGAAAGCACTTTGATAATTGAACAGAGTTTCAATTATATGGTACACTGATTTGACGAACAGTTTGATAGGAATTGACTTACTCGGAGACATGTTTCATCATAGTAAGTAGCAAAGACTTGTGTACATGGATGGCATCTGACCCTGCGAAAGTGCTTCAAAAAGCAACGATGACATCTTACTGCCCACATCATCAAGTTGCAATCCTCAAATCCACTTTCCAAAAAATTTAGAAATATTTGGTTCTGGTTAATGCTTGGATATTTTTAGCAAGGGCCTTCTAATTCGCTT